TTTGAGACGGAGTTTCGCTCTTGTTACCCAGGCTGGAGTGCAATGGCACGATCTCGGCTCACTGCAACCTCCGCCTCCTGGGTTCAGGCAATTCTCCTGCCTCAGCCTCCTGAGTAGCTGGGATTACAGGCACGCGCCACCATGCCCAGCTAATTTTTTGTATTTTTAGTAGAGATGGGGTTTCACCATGTTGACCAGGATGGTCTCGATCTCTTGACCTCGTGATCCATCCGCCTCAGCCTCCCACAGTGCTGGGATTACAGGCTTGAGCCACCGCGCCCGGCCTGATTCTTAAGACAAGTCTGAAGTCCAGATTTCTTCATGAGTCTCCTAAATTTTACATGTTGACTCAATTTAAGGAGTCAAAAAAACAAATCTATGTGCCACATTTAGACTATAGCCCTTGTGTTTTTATATTTGGTATGAATGTGTTACTAAATGGTTGTGTATAAGCCAAGTATTTGCTTCTGTAATTTTTTCTTTCTCTAGGGTTAGAGTTCAGGTTGAAAAAATCAGGCCCTGATATGTATTTATGCATATATCTATATAATACAAATTGCTGTTAAGACTCATAATACCCACCTCGAGAGTTTTTCCAACATGTATTCATTTACAATCTCTTTGTATATCATTTTCCCAGATTGTTAACCAAATAGATAATTAGTTCATAGGACTTCCAAAACTAAATTGTTAAAAGAATTCCTACTGTATTCTCACTGACTTCATGGATTTCAGTGTTTAAAACTGACATCCTGATTATGCCAAAACGCCACAAACTTAACAGACATACTGAGATAGCCCATAATACAACTTCCACTGAGAAAAAAACAGGTTCCGTATTTGCTACTAATCTAATTAAAAAAAGAAAACGTGGCTTGTAATGAACATTTGTTGACACATAATCACCTGAATGTTGACAAAGGAACATGAAATTGTGAAAGGGTCAGCCTCTGCTTATTCAAAGGTTACCTACAAGCAAATTCCTAAAGACTCTCTCAATAGTAGCGAATGAGTCACCATGAGAAGTAAAAGGTGTTATTCTGTAAGCCGAGAGACATTACCAATACTGTTTCCTTTCACTTCCCAGTCACAGACACAGAAAGAGACAGATAAGTCAGGCTAATATTATTGGAAAGGAGAACTTTGAAGGAAGCAGTGCCTGTCAAATGCCAACTCTTTTGGAGATTTCTTATGTTTTTGAGATGTGGGAACTTACATACTGCATTCATCTATTCTGTGCTTCTTAATCAGGAGTGTATTCAAACCTAGAGGTTTTTTTTTTTTTTTTTTCTGCTGTTGTTAGAAACAAGAGTCTTACTACGTTGCTCAGGCTGGACTCCAAACCCCAGCATCAAGCAATCCTCTCACCTCAGCCTCTGAAGTAACTGGGACGGGGAACATGCCACTGCGCATGGCTTCAAAAAATATTTTTAACCATACATGTTCAGGCCTTATTAGATCTGTCACATCAACATCTTCAAGGGAAAGCCTACACTTGTAGATTCTTTACAAAATTTCCCCAGGTCACTGTAAGGCACCATTCTAGCTGAGAATTAGTGCAGCAGACAATCACTTGAGTTTCATCACTCATCCACACAGCCACTACCCGTTATCAGTTTGGGATGTGGCCAAAAAGAGAAAAAGAGTAAGAGTAACTTATTAAAACTCCAGTCAATTTTCCTGGGGATGGGTAGAACGGGGACAAGTAAACTCAAAATCCCACTTGATTTTGCTATTTACAAGCTCCTTATGTCCCACCTTCCCACCAAGACATCCTAGATCTGAGAGGAGACTTTAGATTCTTATCTAAGTGGCTGTTTCTGCCAGGATGGGTAATCAGTCCGTTGCTAACATGTTCTACCCTTTGCTGAAGTGTTTCTCACTTTGTCGCCACCTATTCCCTACCAATCTGGTTTCCTCAGAGTTCTCTAAAAATTAGGCAAGTTTCAATCACTCTCTTTACCAAACCAAAAATGATTACCCCAGAGCTGAAGAGCACTTTGTCTCAATACGTAAGCTGGAAAAACCACCAACTAAGAAACAAAACCTCCTCTTTACAGTTTTCCCTCATTACCTAATTTCCAAGCGACCTGCATATTATCTGATTGCTCTCCTTTTCCCTCCCCATTTTTTCCTCGTAAGCCTTGCCACTGAAAGATACATCAGTCTTTTAAAGACAATTGTCAGCAGCAGCAAGATTTCCATTTATTACAAGTCGATTTAGTTTTGTTTGAGTGTTAAGATAAAGCCTATTTCCAGGGTAGATTTCTTTTTCCTGTGTGTGGTTTTTGTTACACTAATTAGGGTAAAACCAAACCAAACCAAACCTGTGGTAGGAAACAAATACTTGAAAAGAAAAAGTTTTACCTTGAACAGATTCACAAAGATTTCCCATAAGTGCACTAAAAAAGCTGTGCCCTCTAAAGTTTCTTGAAAAGTATTAATATTTAAAGTAAAATCTTAGACAATTAAGTTATTTCAAAATATGTTCATTCAAGGAAGGCTTGAGCTTCCAAACATGAAAAATTGACCCTTACCTATGTCAATGTTAAAACAAATATTTCGAAAAGAAAGCTGATGGATCGATACCTTGTTTATTGCTTCAATATTTGCCTGGTAGGAGAGCAGTTTTTCTGCCAGTGAAGTCACGCTGTTAGATGCAGCATAATGAAGAGCGGTGTTGCCGTAGACATCTTGAATGTTTGGATTGGCGCCATGTTCCAGAAGAATAATGGAACAAGCCTCCTCCTGACCATGCACAGCCTATCCGTGTTAGATAGAAAATTAGACTGTAATTTCTAAGAATTCAATACACATATTCCACAGGTTTCACCTAACAGTCATATTTAAATGAGATAAATTCATTTTATTTACATGTATTTAAATCAAATCCATTCCATGCTGAAAGAGTTGACTACTCTATACCTTCATTAACGGGGTCCTGTTCAGTCTGTCGTCGATGTCAATCTGGCACTTTCTGCTCACCAACAGAGTGACCACTTCCACATGGCCATGTGCACAGGCCAAATGCAGAGGAGTCCTGTGAGAATGAGAGGAGTTTTCAGGAAATTGTAGTGCAGTATCTCAAAACCTACAATGATTCATGAGACTGTAAACACTGAATAGCATGTTATTCCTCTGCCTTCAAAACCAATAAGTTTCTTTTGAAGAAAGTACGGTATTTATTAGCTCTTGTTGCTCACTACCTTAGTGAAACGGCAGCCGATGTGGATAGAATGAGCTTGGTCTTTGGATTCAGTTCCACTAGGGTTTGAGTTCTTCTGCTTTGAACTCTGTCACTTACCAGCTATTGCTTAGCCTTTCTGTACCTCAATTTCCTCATTAATAAAATAAAGATGACAAGAGCAGCTAGCACATAGGACACCACTGTGATGCTTAAATGAGAATCTATGTAAAGTATTTAGAACCGTTTCTAGAACAAGAAACAACTCAGTAAGTGTTAGATTTTTGTTTTTTGAGACAGGCTCTCACTCTGTTGCCCAGGCTGCAGTGCAACGGTGTATTTACACCTCACTGCAGCCTGGAACTCCTAAGCTCAAGCAATCCTCCTGCCCCAGCCTCCTGAGTGGCTGGGACCACTGGAGGGCACCAGCATACGCAGCTAATTTAAAACAAATGTTTTGTAGAGTAGGGATTTCACTTTGTTGCCCGGGCTGTTCTCAAACTCCTGGCGTCAAGGGAACCTCCCACCTCAGCCTTCCAAAGCTCTGGAATGAAGGGTGTGAGCCACTGCACCCAGCTGGATGTTATAATTATTACTATTACTGCTACTTAACAAAAACATTTTCATTAAGTAAGATGATACAATTATTCCTATTTTGAAGGATGATTTAAAGATCATGGCACATTTTAACATATCTGATATTGGAATGGCATTTATTTTTTATAACTATCATTGGTAGCATTTTAAAAATTATCTCATTAATATAGAAAATAATAGGGTATCACATAATCTGTGAGGCCTGACATTAAGTGGAATACGATATACACAGCAGGTCTAGGGCAGTTCTAGGCATCAAGGAACCCACCTCCCACTTCCAAGTTTCCCTCTAAGAAGCCCCAGTGAAGAACCTGTCTACATAGGTAGATTCAGGTGTAAAAGGGACACAGGGTTTTCATCTGAGAACTTTTCACCTGCTGAAAATGACTCATGGTATTTCTGGCATGAGAAGGAGTTCTCATTAGGCACCTTCCGATCATGTGGACGACACGGCATGTTTTAAACCTGTATATGCTTAACTTTGTGAGTGGAATCCCTCCAATTCTCCACCAAGTGCTACAGGCAAGGATCTCCACCGCAGGGAGACCCGGGCCGCTGGCATGGGCACCGGGCAGTCACCCGGGATGGAAAGCAGCTGAGGCTCCGCTTGGCTGCCCGGCGCCCTCCCAGGCCCCCGCCCCAGGGGCTGCGGGGCTGCGGGGAGGCCGGGCCTGGGGACCCCCTGCCCCGGGCTGAGCCCCCCTACCTGCCCTTCCTGTCGCGGGCGTCCACGTCCCGGCTCCTGCGCCTCAGGCAGCGCTCCACCTCCGCGGCGTCGCCCCTGATGACCGCCCTGTGGATCTTATGCAGTTCCCAGTCCCGGATGTGGTACCCGGGACCCGCGTACTCGTCGTGCGCGGCGGAGCCCAGGACCGCCTGGCCCAGGCGACTGTCGAAGCTGAAGAGCTTCTTCATGGTGGCGACTTCTTCTTCTCGGCAGCTCACCACCCGCTCCTGAGCCGCCGCGGCTCCTCGTGGCCTTTCCACCCCCACCCACCCCAAACCCGCGCTCCAGCCCCAAACCCGCGCTCCAGCCCCAAACCCGCGACCCAGCCCCAAACCCGCAGTGCAGCTCTGAATCCGCAATGCAGCTCTGAATCCGCGATCCAGCCGGGTCCCCCACAGCCTTCAGCAGCGACACCCGCAGCCTCGGACCTCTCAGAGCCAGTGAGCCGGTGAGGCCGTTTGGCGCGCGCCTGCAGCTCACGCCCGCGGGGACTCCGGAAGCCGCTCCCAGCCCGCGCGCCCGGCAGGGGCGGCCGCAGCTCGCGCGCAGGTGCCGCTGGCTTCCGGGTTCTCCTGGGCTCGCCTGGGCCTTCCCGGAGTAGCAGGTGCGCAGCCCGCCGGCGCGAGGGCCAGCCTGGCCGTGACCCCCGCCCCGCTCCTCCTCCGAAGAGGGATCGGGGCTGCTGGCAGGGGCCCCTCAGCTACCGGGGATGGGGTTTAGGGCCGGTTCCCGCCCCGGTGCAGCCGCCGCCGGGCAGACCTCCTAGTTTGGGCCGCAGCCACGGCGACATCTGGCCCCGGTTCGGTGAGGCTGGGAGCGCCAGCGAGCTTGGGAGTTGCCAGGCAGCTGCTGTGAGCAGGCAGAGAGGGGCTGCAGCTCAGGCGCCCAGGCGGCGGAGGATGGCCCGGGCGGCCTCTGGATCGCCAGTGCACCTGTCCTGAGAGCCCGCCAGGCCCTGCCTCCGCCCGGCTCCTCCTCTGCGGGAGCTCGGGACTGCTAGCCAGGGGCCCTCTGCAGCCACCTGGGGTAGGGCTGAGGGCCGGTTCCCGTTCCCGTGCAGCCGCTGCAGGGCAGACCGCCTGGCTTGGCTGCAGCCACTGGGACATTTGGCCCTGGTTCTGAGATGTTGGGAGTCCGGGCTGGCTCGGGGGTTGCCTGGAGGCTGCTGCCTGTACGCAGAGGGTGGCTGCAGCTTGGGCGCCCTGGCGGGCTGGAGGGGCATGGCCTGCGCGGTCTCGGGATAGCCAG